AAGCATTTTATTTAGATTAACAGATGTATTTGTTAAGTGTTTTCCATGCAACAATAAGATTCTTCATGTGCGGGGTTCCGCCCCCAAAATGCACAAGCTTGTACTTTGTCATTAAGCCTTTCGTACACAATTATGTTTTATCGTCTTTTGTTTCTATCGCTACTCGTTTATATTTGATTTCCCCTATAAGTTAGTTCATTTAGTTGTATTTGTGTTTTAGTTTACGAGAATCATTGATCGCTGGCAAGAAATAAATCAAGTTGATTACATCACATCATTTCATCGCCTGCAAGTTTTTGTTCTCCGTATTTAAATATCCCCGATCAGTTAGCGACACGTTTGATTTGATAGCAAAGAACATGATCGTCACTTCGCTGTAACAGGATGCTTCTGGCCGCTTTATACCTATTGACCAGAGAAGATATCTGTTAGAAGGCACAAGAAACGACCACGTTGTTGATGTCCCTACAGGTAAACAAGCTGTTGATCACATTTTGCTTCCTAGCTAGCAGTATGCAGAGAATATTACTGTAAGGAAACGACTAGACTGTTTTTTACTCAGTTACTTAGATTGAGTGTAGTCTAATAGCTCGAATATACATTTTCTGTACAATGCTACTATTAATTTTTAGTTACACTTATTGTGTACATTCACAGCCTAAACCTAACATCATCCTTAAAATGTATTTCGCTGTAAGTCTCGACAATGGAGAGGCCTTAAAAAGCTTTTTACAGTTGAAAATGAACTATTTGGAAATAGTGTTGATGACTCATGCAGCAAGCAGTCTCTCTGCCAATTTTGATCTAACAATTGGCATGTTCGATGGATGCTCCATTCCAGTGCTCAATAATTAGCTCACAAAGTATTTACTTTTTGGTATTATTTTTTGCCCTTCCGTTCATCGTTTTCTCGAGGAAGGGTTTCTATAGGTTCTGCTTTGTGGTTAGCCGTGTTTTTTATGTAGCTCTGTGAATTCTCTGCTGCTTCACCCTTACACAGGAAAGAAATTCACTGATTTTAGCCCACTTTAATTTGCCGCCATTGCTATAGTTAACGGGAAACACTATTTTCCCCTCATATTGTGATAACAGAACACGTATGTATTCTGCCGTAGAGTGATAACTTAAAATAGGTTTTGTCACCTCAGACCCCCCACATGACTCCGAGGAACTTGTATTCTACACATGAAAGGCTTTCTATGAGCAACATGTGTTTCCCATATGACAATTGTTCATAGAATTCAAAGTGAACGTTTAAAATGTTTTTTGAGCTTTATTCCAATGTAGAAAGAAGTAAGGGCATTGAGCCCTCACTAATAAAAAATAATCATTGTACTATTATGATTGTTCAGTTCCCAAGGGACTCTACTTCAACGCTGCCCTTTGCAGTTTGTTAAGCGAAGAAACAGGTTTAATGCACATAATATTATTTGATTGACTAAAATTGAGAATGTACTGCTGTTGACACAAAATTGTTTGCTCTTCCTGTAAGTGCCGGATGGATGTTGATGTTAGCCATCAACTTGTGACCTGTTGGCAAAAAGAAAAAAAACCTAGGAAGATTTTATTAACATGGATGTCACTTTTTTAGTTGTTTCTGATATGATGTAGTTTTTTATTCATAATTTGACCACCCCTTAAGGTAGCATTATTATGACTTTCTGTTTTGAACATTTCACAGAAAATGCTTCTTCAGAACAGGGTAATACAAGGAGGGTGTCCAGGTTCCAGGAGGACTTGAACCGATCATTCCAGGCTGTAGTTTTTATGTATTTCTGAAAGACAATAAAAACATACTTCCGGTGGGTAAGGGAAAGTTCATTTAATATGACAAGGGGGGGGGATGAAGATATTGAAACTCGAAGCTTGAAATTTTAGCAGCCCCCCTCGCTAGCGGTTCAATTTTTCAGGAGCCCCCTCCTTGGTAGTCGAAAAAATTTCAGAGCCCCCCCCCTCCTCCTTCAATTCCTTTGCTCCCCTGAGAAAAGATCGCTAGACTGTATTAAATATATTTACCGTTATTGTCTTCAATGGTTTATACTGACAAACTTGAGATACAGTTGTGATGAGATCCCTGTTGAGTTCTCGATTATTTGTTGTCACAGAGTGCCTACCTCTACTCCGATGCTTCACACATAGTTTTCATGGTAGCGGCTCATCCATGACCCAACCCTCCCGCCACATCTGGAAAATTGACACGTCTCTGTTTCCGTGGCCTGAAGTGGCTCAACTGTAGAGTCTTCATCGGTGTCACCATCACCATCGGTGTCACTATCCGTGGTCTGAAGTGGCTCAACTGTAGAGTCTTCATCGGTGTCACTATCACCAATGACAGCTAAGACATCGTCGTCATCCGAGTCAGATTCCCAAAGAGAACCACTGTCAGGGTCAGCTGGCTTGTCTTCTGAGGTGGCCACCTCGTCATTTCTGAGATAGAAATCTGCAGTGATCCTTTTCAATTTGTCTGGTTTCTTGCCAGCAGATGGAAGTTGGTGTTCCTTGAGGTACTTGTCCAGCTCTTTTACTTTCAGTTTGCTCACCTTTCCAGATTCAATTAAATCAGACCAGTTATAGTCCTGATACTGCTTGCCCTCTTCAATGGTTCGATTCAATCTTCTCTCTCTTTCTCTGATACTAGCAACTGTTGCTAGCTGTTCCAAATGCTTAACATAGCTAACAACATGCTTCTCTTCAACACAAAATTCTTCAGAAAATGTTCTCAGTTTCTCACAGTTGCTTGATGAGATGGATCCATCCTTGAACAACTTTCTGATATTTGCCCTAGGGGCAAGATCATCTATGGCTCTAGCCTTCCCATTGATCGTTCTTGGTGTCTTAGAAAGAGGAAGGTAGTGACCTGCATTGTCAGGATCTGGATAAGGTGCAGGAATTCGTGAAAACTTTGGCCCAACCCACTCTGCCTTTCCGCACCGTTTGCACAGCATTCCATCTTTCTCCAGACATCCTTCTCTCACATACTCCATGTACAGTTCCCCAACGCAGTAGTGTTTTTCAATGAAGTTCATAATCTTTGTAATGTAATAATATCCAGGAACAGATTTCTTTTGCAGAGTGCTCCCTGCACTGGAATACTGTGTAAGGTACGTCTTGTTGAAGAAAAACGGGTTCTTCTTTTCTGTTACAAAGCACTGAATGACCTCATTGAATACTGGCGCACCATCAATTCGTTTGGAAATTTCTCCTGCACAGTGCCAGGCGTTTTTCTCCATCCTCTGCCTCTCGTGCTCTTCATATTCTTTCAAAGTAAGGGTGCTAATTTCTTCATCACTTAAGCCATCAAATTTCTTGTACTGCTCCCACTGAATGCTTGAGCCATCAACAATACTGTCTCCGATAGCGCTGTTAGTTCTTTCCGCTTCGTTGTCAGCAGAGTTCTCTCGGGAGGGGTGAACTCGAATGCGATAGTCACTATTATGAATTAGTGCCAATTCTGCATCCCTGAATCTCACCTCGAAGTTACTGCAGCCGACTCCTGGACCAGCATCTGTGAAATCGACCCATCTTGGCTTCACAGGTGGCAACTTCAACTCTGCAAGTTTCTCTAACAGTCCATTACAAGTTGCAATGTATGTGCTGTACTGTTTTTGCAAGTCAGCAGTACATGCAATTCGGATCAACTCACCATTGAGTGCTTCTCCTTCTTGAATGAGTTTGGTCAACTGAGGTACGATATCTCTTGCAACAATGGATGACTCTGTTTCACTGAAATGATTTACTTCACAAGAAGTTAAGGATGTCTCCAGCCTAGCCACCAGGTGAGAAATCCTTTCACTTTCGTACTTGTAATGAATGTTCTCAGGGCTATTACAAACCCTCTCTAGATCTTCAGCTACTGTCATTTCAATGAACAGCCTGACATCGTCATGAATTCTTGCACAAACACCTCTGAAATGAGCTGAATAGTTTACCTGACTTCCGCCTTCTAGTACCTCAAACTTATCAGGAAACATACTTCTGAGGCGTTCAGTTTCATTAGCCCATGTTGTGCCAGAGGAGTCCACTAGTGCCTTGGGGCGGACAAATACAATGTGGGTGTCATCTTTATTCATTAGCTTTTCCTCCCCTTCTACTATCACAGCTAGGAAAAAAAAAGGAAACTAAAATTAGGGCCTGTTTACAAGGGAGTTGGGTTGCCCTAGCACTAGGGTCACCCTGGCACAAGGGCTACCCTTTAACAATGTCTCTTTTTTAACAAACATCTTCACATATGAGCAACACAGCATAACATTTAAAAAAAGAAGAAGAAATTATAACGCACTAGGGTGACCTTAATGCTAGGGTAAACCTCCTTGTAAACAATTCCTATAATTGACAATCAAAATAATACTTTAGAGATCCTGTCAACTTCAAAAGGTAACTTCTTTATATGCTCATATTTCATTAAAGAATCATAAGATCACCACCTTCCTTGTGCAGAATTCTGTGAGTTGAGGGAGTGACATATACCATTCTTTCTGGCCAATCATACTTCGGTAGCTTTCTTGTTCTATCTTCAGCCGCTGGAGTCAATATGCGGTTTTGCCGCACATTTGCAAACCCTTCAGGAGTTCCTATACAAAACAAAAAGGTGTGAGTAAGGCAAACAGCATTGCTTAAAGCATGACTGTATAAAACAACTTTATAAAGAAAAGGGTCTTTCAGTAAACTACAATAGATATATCATACCTCGTACAATTTTTTAACATTGATGCATTTTTAAAATAGTTTTTATCTCTTAAATATTATTGATAACAGGATCATATTATTTGCATTTACATGGACTGTTGTGGACTTCAGTCTCTTTTAGCTGTTAGATTATTTGTAGGATATTTATCTCAACCATCACACACCACAATCACAAAACACCACAGGGGCCAGTGAATCTACAGAATATGCTGGTATACCTGGCCTGATGTAAGCCTTGTCATCTATGCTTCTGGCAAAACAGTATCCTGGTTCAGCATTGTTCTCTGACGAAAAGAAGGACCGCAGAACATGTTTCTTGTGTGCTCTTTGGTAATGGGTGTTCTCATTGTAGGCCTCAGCTGTCTTGGGTGGTTTTCTGGTGCAGAAGAGACTTTTCCCTGGAAAATAAATTTTGATACCTCTTTAATACTGTAGCGTTTATATATTTTTTGCTTTATCGACAAATACCAGCAGACAGGGCTCACACAGAAGCTTGTGTGCAAAATTCCATGACATTTCCATGACTTCTGATACAATTCCTTAATCTCATAATCCGAGAGCCAGCACTGTTCTTTTTTATCAACTCAAAACAGAATTGTGATAAAAATCTAACATTCCATGACCTGAAAACATTTTTCTGAATTCCATGACTTTTACAGGCCTGGTATACAAATTTCAAATTCAACGGCTTTCCATGACTTTTCCTGTGTTGACCCTGGCAGAGTTATGGTACATGTGTAAACGCACATTATTCTCACCAATGTGCTTCTTCCCTTGAATGCTCCGTTTGTTCCTTGCTCTTGACCTGTTTAACACAGTGATGGCAGATTTCACTGGCAATTTCCCTCTCTTGGACAGGTTGAAGTTAGCAATCCCCATCAAGTCTCTGACCTTAACACGTCTGTTGGTGTACATGGTCGGCTCAGAACGGCGACCATGATATGTAGCCTTGTCTTCGATAGCTTTACAGATGAACTCCTCATCATCACTGTCTAGTAGTCTTGGCCTACCTGTGCAATGTAAATATAGAAGACCATACCGCTTTACATGTACTTTAACAATACCAACAACGAACAAAATTTGGTATACTTCCAAGTACCTGCTAGTCAATCCATCTGGCTGTTTCCATGAAAGATATTACAACTTTTACATTTATTAATTTATTATTACCTTGATCTCCTAAGCGGCGTCTTTTCAGTCTGTTGCTTTCAATGAGATTGTCTGCTTTACGCTTGCACATTCTTTGTAGTCTCATATGATGCTGCTTGGATGATCCCTCTAGCATAAGCTTCATATCTTCCACATTGCCCTCAAGTTCTTCGATCTCTTCTTCTAACTCCTGTAGTTTTGTTTGTGGCGAGACTGACTGCTTCCTTTGCAACAGATGTTGCTTACCCTCTGCCGCAGCACGACCTTTGGTTATTTTCTCTTTGATATTCAGATTTACCATGTCCTGTGCTGCAATTTGGGCATTTTGAATCTCATTTGAGACTTCAAGCACATTCCTTGTAACTGCTGCAATGGTGTCCGAGGTTATACCAAGTTCATCAAGCTCAGCATTGGTGTGCACTGCTCCCAATATAACTCTTGCAACACTTTTGTCCCATTCCGAATCCATTGATTTCAACAGCAACTGCACAGTTTCTTTTGTGAGTAGCAGTCTGTCACGTTTTAGTTTTTCAACTAAAACATCACGTGAACAAAAAAAGATGACAAATCTACATCATCGGACCTGAGAACAATGTATCCACTGTCACACTGTGGAGGATTGATTATGTATACACACAATCCATACTTGGGGTGAAGAAGCGCATACTGAAACCTTTTCCTGTCATACCTCGAGCAGGTTCCCGTCACATATTCTGTATCATACCCAAGGTACAGTTCAAGTGCATCCTCAGTTGTAAGGAAACTGCGTGGAATTTCTTTACCCGTTTGGTCAATTTTCAGAGAAGCCAAATGCTGTAACACAGCCATGAGACCATTGATTTTGTTAATTTCAGACTCTATTTTCGCCGACTGCCTCAATTTCAACAACGTTCCAAAGTTCTCGCGAAGAGAGCAAGACTGCTGTGATACCAAAACATTGGGTGCTACACGACTTTGTGCCATTAGATCAGCCCTCCAATCGTTCTTCCCTCTTGGAAGTTTTTCTGATATTTCCACATCACCAGATGAAGCTTTTCCCAAATCTGAAGTACTGGCCATCGTAGAATCGAACACACGACGTGATGAATGCATTGAGTACGTGTTTTAACTCATGCCGCTGAAGCGATGTCTCTACCGATCAGCTGGGGAAGATCGCACTTTCCAATGCATTCGAGAACTGCCTTGAAATAGAACATTTCATTTATGTTAAAATTTGCCTGGTTAAATGATGGCTAAAATAACATTTTAATAGTGTAGTTCAAGATTTTACCGGTGCAAACTGCCTTTCGCGCGTTTCAAAAATCCCCAGGCGTCAGCAAAAAAACGAGAAGAGTCTGGTACATAATCCCATGATGCACTCGGCGAAACGTTCAAGATGGGGGATCTAGAACGTTTGACTGTAGAGCAGTGGCTGAAATCCATTCATTTTGGTGAATATTGCACAAAATTTGAAGAGGCAGGGTATGACGATTTATCCTTCTTGGTCAGGCTGACCGATGCGGAAGTCAATGAGATGCAAATGTCTGTCCAAATGACAAAAGGTGGACATAGGTTAAGTACACCTTTCAATGTATGTAATGTATATAAATGTTTGTATGTCTAGTACTTTTTTTATGCGCAGTGCGCGTTTCATTTCTTGACACTTACCGGTAATGTATGAGTTAAATTCCAACTGCGCGTAGTTGTGAATATGGTCTCAAGGTCTCAGCTTCTACGTTCATGGTTTTTGAATGACGATGTGATAATTGCACCATTGTTGAAGAATTTGATAGAAATTGTAGCCAAACTAAAATTCTTCTTGTTTTGTTTTCTTTTAATATAGCTCTGAATGACTGTAATAATTACTGAGACTACATTTGTTATATCTGTAAACCACGTGATATAGCTGAGTTGCACAGGTCATTAAATTGTTGAGTTGAAAACCATCCGATCTGTATGATGATGTCATGTGTTGGTTTTGAAGTATACAAATTTTCGGAGCCCCCCCCTCCTAGCGCAACAATTTTTTCAGAGCCCCCCCTTCGGGTGTCTAAAAATTTTCGGAGCCCCCCCTCAATATCTTCATCCCCCCCCCTTGTCATATTAAATGAACTTTCCCTAAGAAACTTTTTCATTTAACCATAGTTTTGCGGCCTATAATAGTGTATTGTTAAACAAAATAATGCACTCCTTCATTTTTCCATTAATTTGAGATCTAGACATTGAATTTCCTCGAGGCAAATCCGTTTCTTTTTTGCCTCATTATCATAAGCTTTTTATTCTCCAGTAAACCAGCTAATTGAAAGAGCATTACAATATTAGTAATCTTTAAATTTGCGCTTAATGTATTGAATAGAATAAATGAGTTATGATCATGAGATTGTCCTTTTTGCCACCCCGTAAAGTGTTGACCTCTGCGCTTAAAGTGAAGTATGTGAGTCCATAGCTGAGAAAGACCAGGAGTGAGTCATCGACGAGCTTAGTGCACGGGCAGTCAGTCCATTGGAGTTTCAACCCAGTATTAAACTTCTAACAATGCTTGTTGCAGGTTTTTCAGTAATATAGTCACTTCTTCTATTTATGTTGTAATCTCAAACAGAAACTAACATCGAAGGTCACAGAGACACCTTTAAAGCTGTGACCACCATTAGAAAACAGCCCGACTCCCAAGTGTGGGTCACAGGGGAAAATGTACACTTGGACCAATTTGGGAACATTCTCTCAGAGGATCAAAGGGAGTTTGTCTGGGTGGATAACAAACGGAAAAGGCCAGAGGTCATCCCGCCTTTCAAACAGGAGGTGATGGAGGACATTTTCAGCTGCCTAAAATCAACACTTCACAATAACTTCACTGCATCCCTATTAGCAGTGCGTAAGTTTGTATTTTATTTCAAGAGGGAAAATACATGTACACCAAGGCACAGGATTGTAGAAACTCTGATGTTCTCAATGGCATCTCATTAAATAACCAAAGAAAATGTAAAAAACCTGAAAACCAATCGATCTGGTTTGATGAGTTAAAACTGGAAATGAATGTTTTTTTCAGCAATCCCTCGCCTTGTTCATGAAATAAGTAAATTTGATAAGTGTATTTATTATCTAAAGAGAACTGGATGGAAAACGTAAAACTCAACGAAAAAGTTCCTTCCATTGTTCTTATGCATGTTTGTCCAGGTGCTGTTACTGTTGTTTCCAAAACAGTGTTATTTTTCTTTGAACCCAGTGTGGCAACTGAGAATCCAAATTAGACACAAGCCCTGTTTTGTAGTTATATAGTTATTATTCTGCACCATAAGGAACAATATGTTTCTAATTCAGGACAATTTACACATCCTCTCCCTCATGAGGATTAGCTGAGAGGAAGATGAAAATGTTAAAAATATATAATTATGTATTTGCATGACGTGTGCAGTCATTTAATGGTCTTACAAAGAATGTCTAAAGGCAGGGAATGGGGTGTTGGTAGCGATGGGGCAATATTACAAAACAAGCATACAGATATTTTAAAAATCAACACCATCCGACTAAAAATATCAATGCTTATGAAGCATGCATAAAACTGTACAGAGAATTAATGACTATATATTCTTGAATAACAGGGTGTATTAAATGAAATTTAACAAGTTTTTTTTATGAATCACGATACGTCAAACTTATTTGTTCAGTTTGGCATACCCATAATCTTGAGTAAGTCCCTCAAGAGCTTCCCAGTTGATGCCGACTGTGGGACAAGTTTTTGGCTTCATTTCCTTTGCACATGTACCATCCTTTCCTCCATCAAAATACACAAGAGCTATGTCCCCCAACTGACAGTTGAATCTGTGCGTGGCTTAGTGTGATATTTTGTTTTGTTTTGATCATAGCAGCTTCAGACAAAAGGGTTAATTAAAACAGTTTGTGATTTTGTTTATTTGGTGTTACGGATATAATCAAGTGCTCAGACCGTTTCCAAGCCAGTTCAAAGAATGTCCTCTCTTGATTATGACCAGCAAGAAGCGGGTTAATTCGTAAATTGTTCTCAGTTGATGACCTCAGACAAGAGGTAGTCTAAGAGAGCTCCTTGCAGCAAGTCCTGGACAATTTTCCTGTCTTTCCAGCAGAGAGTGCCCGAGTCGAATCCTACAACTCTTGAAGCTTGGCTTGTTGCAAGGTATGGTCTCCTCACGACCATTGAAATTTTATCCTTCACCCAATCTGCAATGTCGTTGCCACTAAATAAACAACAACGTTTGCTGGCGACATTTCATCCCCACATTGACACCAAACACTTCCATGTGCTGGATAAAGTTGCCAGGACTTTGTCGGCTGTGTTGAAGATTTGTCAAACGTATGTTCTCACTCCTCCTACATCCTCAGGCTTGCTTTGCAATAATTCACCTCGTCTTAGTGTACATCACCAGTGGAACGCAGTGGTGTATGGTTTTGGTGGGGCAAGGCAAGCTACGAAGATATCCACAGGATGCCAGCGTTGCTGCAACATATACAACTACACCTCCTTCAGAAACGCTGGGGATGGTTGGACTTTGTATCAGGACGCCAGGGATTTTGTTGAGGCTAGTGACGTCTGCTTCATGGAAAGAGCTATGTTCGAGCTGCAGTGTTTGCTAGCATAAGTTTATAAGCTTGCATATTCTGGCTTGTCATTTTATGTGATTATGCCCGTCTAACGTGACGGCAACAACATCATTTTTGTTTGCAAGTACTATTACATACATACTCTAATAGAGGAGCTTGGCATAAATTAGGGTATGAATCTTAATTCTACACATGTAACTCAGGATCGTACAAATAATACAGACCCATGCCACAACATTGGAGGATGTATTTGACATCAAACTGCAACAGAGAGAAAAAAACTTGCCACAGATATATTGGATTCCTAAACTTCACAAGACACCACATAGGGCAAGATTTATTGCAGGTTCAAGCTCATGCACAACGACTAGGCTTTCTAAATTAATTACTGTGTGTCTTAAACTAGTTCGCAGCCACTGCACCGCTTACTGCAAGACGATTCGAGAAAGGACAGGTGTTAACTGCATGTGGATAATCACTAATTTGTTGGACGTTATCCGTGCACTGGAGGAAAAACAGCTTTCCCTAAATCATGTGAGTAATTGGGACTTTTCTACTCTTTATACTAGCCTTCCACACGCCCAGCTTAAAAAGCAACCTCATGATCTGTTGGAGAGAGTTTTTAATACTAAAGGAATAAGCTTCATTGCTACCAGTAATTTTCGCACCTTCTGGGCGAATGATAAGACGTCAGCGAGGTACACCTACTTCTCCTGTCGAGAGCTTGGTCTCACTATTGACTTTCTTATCGATAACATTTACGTTCGTTTTGGAAGCTCGGTCTTCCGGCACGTTATTGGTATACCCATGGGCACCAACAGTGCACCTTTGTTGGCAGATCTCTTTCTTCATACCTTTGAGTACGATTTTATGGTCAAAACAATGAAACAAGACATTACAAAAGCCATCCAGTTC